CCGCCTCAACGACCCACTTTGTTGGAAAGAGACAGACATATATCTGAGCTCGTTGTAATGATGCATCTCTGCCATGGTGCTCTAAGCTTTTTTGCTGCTCTATGACCAAATTTTGCATACTGCTATACAAATCCACTCAGCCTCAACTATTGCTTAAACCTATCCCCAGACTGCAGCAGAATGAATACCTGAGTCCTGTTAGTTTCACTTCTTCCCAGAGGGAACCAGAAAACAGCTGTGAAGACAGACAACAACACTGATCAATTTTCACTCTTCTGCAGCCTGTGGAAAACAAGCTGTAACTGTGGTGTTAGAACTATCTGCCTCATACATATGATAGTACAACACTTATTTGTATAGAGTAGGACAGAGTCACCAAGTCCCAGACCCAACATGCTCAGTTTACACAAACATAAGTCAGTCCTGGCCCAGATATGTCCTTTCTTTATATTTAAGCAGTAGGCAGGGTAGGGTAGCACCTTAGAGACTAACTGGTGCCACTGTGCCCTACCTTCTGCATCACTTCAGAATAACCTGGCTAAGGACCTCTTAGTGCTTTTTTATAACTAAAAGAGCAAAAAACATTAAACAGATCTTAACATCTGTATTTGCCTAGGGAAGTTTCCGGCTCATCATACGCAAGTGGGTAATTCCATGCCTGCTATAAAAAAGTAAACCTCTCATCAGAGAGAAGGTTGTAGGTTTTTTGTTTGTTTGTTTGTTTAACAAAATTCAACTGCAAGGCTATTTGTAACATTTCTCCCCTCCAATCTTGTACCTTACATTTCTGCTGACAAAAACAGCTGCTACAGCCCTAAGCATGAATGATCTCCGAATAGATCACAGAAGTAATATAGGTTAGTCTTAACTCTCAATTAAGGCAGAAAGCAGGATAGAGATGCATGTCATGGACTACTTGGATAAGAGATGCATGAGCTTTTGTAAGCAAAAGCTTACTTCATCAAATACTAGCTGCTAGAAACTTCTCTCTGACTTGGGTTAATCTTTAAAATGTATTTCTACCCGGCCTTATGCTTGACTTCGGACTACTTCTCTCAGCCCCCAGCTAAGATACAGACCACCTGCTCTGTCCTTCCCCCGGTTAATGTAAGAATATTTACAAAGTTTACTGTAATGTTCAAGTCAGTTTTTAAAGTCCTACTAGTGGACTTCTGCCTCCAGCCTATGCCTGGGCATCCTTTGGAAGTACTGCAAGGGGCAGGTATTTAGCAAACTAAGCTAGGCTGAGATACTGTTTAGTGTGTTTCTATTTTTGTTTTCTCCTGTACTAAAAGCATTTTCCTGTTTTGTAAGTTATTCTGTTCCCCTATTATTGTTCTATTCTGTTCTCCTATTATTGTCTCCTATTATTGCTGTTGGGAAGGGTGACATACATCAAATAAATAAATAAATAAATAAATAAATGTAAATAAAGGCACATGTCAAAAAGATCTTTGTTTTATGACAGCAGAATTACCTACAGAAAATAAGCTATGTTACCCCCAGGAAAGACTGCCTTTAGTATATCTAAAAGTTTATTAAATGCTTTAATTTCTAATGCTGGACATGGCCATACAAGCACTTAGCTTGTGCTTTTATGGGTCCTGATAGAGAAAACAAGCAACATCTTAATTAAATAGCCCTCATAACAAAGTCAATACACCCTGCTGGGTATGAAACAGAGCCTTAAGGAAAATAGTGACCTATAACAAACAAAATAGTGCTGAATACTACAGAACTCTGGTAAGCACAACAGCAAAGATCCTGTAAAGTCCCCTGGAAAACAGTAATTTTAGGTGGGGGTGGGGGTTTAAGCGCTGAAGAGCATCTTACAAAACCCACACAGTTGTCTCAACTGCATAACAAAACATAAGAAAAACTTGAAAGCTTGGTGAACACTACAAATATTGGCTGTAAGCACAAGATAGGTACTCTGGAGGTGGGAGGGAGTAATTCCTACTATATACTTTCTACAATACTGTAAACAGATGCACTGAATTTATCCTCAATGTTTGTTTTTTTTATGAGATTAGGCACTGCCTGGGAAGTACATTGAAGAAGTTTTCTTCTAATGCAGCCATAAAAATAATGGCATATTTGGACATCATCCTAATTCTTGCACTTGCAGTATAAAAAATAATACCATTACTTAGAATGGCATTTTTGCTTAATGTGGCATATTCACAAGCTGGTCCTAAAATCACAATAACCAACACAAATGTAGGACTAGACTAAACCAAAGCCTGCACAGAAAGGAGGGTCCTCTGAAATAGGCAGAACCCAAGTATAATAAAACAAAGTTAAAAAAATCTTAACAACAAAACTTTAAACACAGCAAAACAGAAGAGCATTAGACTTTCTAAGCTTTAAATTACTTTTTTTTGCCAGACCATATTCAAAGAGCAAAAAACAAATGACAATTTTACCCATTTTCCATTTACAAGATGGCAATATTCTGCAGATTTCAGCAAGATCCTGTTACTTCATTGCTAGCCGAGTCTAGATGCAGCAAGATATTCTCTCCAAGAAAATTGCTTGGCTTTTCAAGATGATGGTGTTATTTTAAACGGTTGTGTTTGGCTTCAAATGTTTGCATAGTGACTATCCTGGAATCTAATAGCCCGTGAGCATTCAAGTAGCAGAGAGGTGTTGCCAAATATTAGGAACTTTGTCAATTCCAACATAGCCCCTTCAGTGTTGCCAAAATCAACTGGATCTGGGTCAGGGCCAAGCAGCCCCCATCAATGTCAAACCCAAACCAAATCTTATCTTCCTCTGCACACAGTATACCCAACCAAGCCTCTAGCAGAGTTAAGAAGGTATGTTCGGCTGTCTGTAGATCCAGCAAAAAAAGTAGAAAAACATCAAAATTCTAAAGATTCCTATCAACCTGGCTTCCTTTTTCAGAAAATGAGTGCAAGCAGCTCAAAAAAAGTTACAGGGAAACAGAAGAAACTCATACAAAGAGACAGATTCCACAACTAACTTAGAGGAGTATTTTCCTTTGAATTTTCCCACTGTGCACAAATTTCTCTCTCCATCGTGGTTAAAAACCAACAAAAACTGAAGTGATACTCAATTTCATCACCAGACTGAAACTGAACAGTCACCATGTTTTAGCCAAAAAGCCTGTTTACCTGATCCTGTGAAACGGACATGATGGGGAACCAGCTGAAACACTGTCCACCTGACTCGCAAGGTTAAACCAGCTTTAGCTTTCTGAAGTAATAAAGGAAGATTACATAGATAAGGGAGATGAGGCAGATACTCACACCTGAAATACTGTGTGCGCGGTAAGCATGTACGTGATGGTGAAAAAATAATCTGAGATTAAACAGTAAATCCCACTTTTCTCAGGTGTGGATTGAGGGAATTTTTAAAGGGCAACTCGAAGGGAGAAAGGAGAACTGTTTTGGCAGAAAACAAAGAAATTATTCATTAGATCTTTTGAAGAAATGATTAAGCAAAAGAAAGTTATCAGATGAATTCTTTGATAGAGGCAGGAAAGGTGGTAGCTTCAGGCACCACAATATTCCATATTTAATGCTGCTAATAATCAAGTCCTGGCAAGGATACTTGTTTTCCAGAATATTTTGAACAACAAGAGCCAAAACTAGAATACTAATAGTATTTTTCCCCTTCTGGAAAGTAGCTTACCTGTTCCCAGAAGGAAACTAAGGGGAAAGCTTATGTTTCGCTGAACCAGTTAGTCTACAAGGTGCCACCCTGCCCTGTCTAAACACTATAGCTGTTAATGAACTAGAGAGTCACCTAGTCTCTCTTCTATGGAGATGCTGGGGAGAACCTGTATTTACTAGTGCTCCAGCCCAAAACCTGGTCTACTGGAGCTACCCACGCAGCCAGGGTGGCACATGAAGCTCCCCCAAAGCCCTGTAACAGCTGGATATTTTCTTGATGTCAGGAAATACTTCTTGCTGTGCTGCCTGAAGTGTCCTTTACTGCTAGCCTGCCTGATGACTGTTTGCTGGGCAGAAGACAGGGTAGATTTGCACCTTATAGACTAACCAAAGGGGGTGGGGGAAAGAGAGAGAGAGAGAAAACAAGCTTTCGTGGGCTTGAGATCACTTTATCAGATGCTTAACACAGAATCCAGTGAAATGAGCTTCAGACCATGAAAGCTTCTTTTCACTCACTTTCATGTGTGTGTTTATATACACACACACAATTTCATTTACTCTGTGTATATATATACACACAAAATGTCTATTTTATACATTTCATCTGTGTTTGTATTACACAAACACCCCCCCCACACACACACACACCATTGCATCTGTGGGGGCATGTGTGTATCATAATGCACACACACTTTCATACACACACACACACACATGCACGCAGAGATTCCGTGTGTGTGTGTGTGTGTGTGTGTGTGTGTGTGTGTGTGTGTGTGTGTGTGTGTGTGTGTGTGTGTGTGTGAGTTCTACACACAAACAGGCACACACGTGTAATGTATGTATGGACACACATATATGTATATACCCAGCAGGTGCAAGGCCAAGAGATGCTTCAGTCAAGCAGAGGGCAGCGGAAAGTTGCATTTACCATACTAACCAAAAAGTGTGCATTTGTCTGTGCATGAGCATGTGTGTATGTATAAATACATAAACACACTTTTCCTGTATGTGTACACACACACACACACACACACAGATGCACACTCTTCAGTTAGTCGATAACGTGTGATTTTTGCCCTGCCCTGCCCTGCCCCTGACTACAGCCTCTCTTGGCCATTCCCCCGCTGCACATCCACACATGCACATACACATACATGAGCACGAACCTTACAGACTAACCAATGGGTGTGCGCGCAGACCAGATACGTGCAGGGCCGTGTGCATGGACACACGCGCACACGCACTGGTGAGTGTCCGGACGCGGCTCTCCCCTGCCCCATGCCCGAGGGTCCCCGGCCCGTGTGTGCGCGTGCGGGTGCGCGGGGCCGGTGGCGGGCAGGGGGTGCGGGGATGGTCCCTCACCAGAAGAAGGTGTTGGTGCCGTCGTCGTACACCTCGGACTCGGTGCTGCGGCGCAGCGCGGCGGGC